TATAACTAATAATAAGCTTTTAAATATAATAAGTTCTAAATATTTTTTATATAATTAAATTTTAAATTTGTAAACTTATTAAAAAATTTTTTAATAAAATTTCATGTTAGTAATGTACTACATGTAGTACACTAAAATTTGCAAAAAATTGCAGTTAAAAAATTTTTTTTAAGTAATTTTTTAGATTTTTAACCTATTCTTCTAAGTGTATTACCAGTAGTACAAAAGCCTAAATCCTATCCATTAATATATATCAATCGGGTTCTACGTACTAGTTTAAAACAAGGCATATACCCGATTGATTATCTTTTGACCTGTGAACATTATTAAGTTAGCTTAAATTATTCTCTAATGCCGGCCTAATTTGGGTAAGGTTGTAATCTTGCATAAAATACGTATGTCATTAAGTCAAAAAAAAAAAAAAATTTCATATAATTTTGGTTATGTGAATAATGTTAGCCAAGTACCTTAATGTAATAGATTAACACCGGGCAAACTTTAAAGCGTTGGTATAATTCATGACCTTAATTCGGGGACCCACATAATTCAAGATTTGGCGCACGGCAATGACCGGATCATAATCCTGGACACTCCAAAGATTTTTATTGCTGTATTGCACTTATCTACGATATCACGTTATCCGATGGCCAATAGAAACTTGGGAGGAGATTAGTAAACGCCGTATAGATAGAGATCCTTGGCATCTTTAACATTGATGAATTTAAATTAGCTATTTTTAAAGACATAAGATCATAAGATCAAAGACTAAATTAAGTTAGATTGAAACAAATCTATTAGCCCCAAAGCCAATGACAATATTTTTTTACTAATGGCTAGATTAACGATTAACGTTAACCAAATTTGTATTATTTGTATTGTCAGAACTCCTTGCTTCAACCATACGTAACTAGTGCCGAAATATGTAGTACGCAACACAATACAAAAAGGAAAGCGTTTTAGGATTTTTCCGCATCTAAAAGACAAACTAAACTTTCTTCCTACAACAACTTTGAACAGCTTTCGCTATGGTAAGTTGTTGACAAACTTTTTGAGCGTTTTATACGTAATAGGGGAAAGATTGAAAAGACTGAAAACATTCGTTGACTGATTGTTCTATTCTTTCCTACGAACGTAAACGCTTAAAAATATTTATTAATAAACGAAACATAAAATTTTTTCGTCGCCTTAGCGTTCTTGCCTTAACTATTTTAATAATCCTAATATCTATAGGACGTACAACTTAGTGAGGAACAACTTGCAGAATTTAAAGAAGCTTTTGAACTGTTTGATAAAGATCATGATGGTTCTATTACAGTTAGAGATCTTGGTTCTGTTATGAAGTCTCTTGGTTATACTCCCACCGATGTTGAGTTACAAGATATGATTAATGAAGTTGATCTCGATCATAATGGTACAATTGACATTAATGAGTTCTTAAATATGATGAATCGCAAGATGAAAGATACCGATGCTGAAGAAGAATTGAAAGAAGCCTTCAAGGTCTTTGATAAAGATAGCAACGGTCTCATCTCCGCAGCTGAGTTGAAAAGCGTAATGAGCAGCATCGGAGAAAAGCTTACAGACGAAGAGATTGACGAAATGGTAAGTCTATAATCATTCTAATAAGAATATTCCCTTGGATATCGATATCTTAATAGATAATATAACGTTGATTCATATTGATTTACATAGATCCATGAAGCCGATGTTGATGGTGACGGACAAATCAATTATGAAGAGTTCGTCAAGATGATGAAAACTAAATAAAATTTTAAAAATAACGTATTTTTAACTTAATAACTATCAAAACAACTAGATGAATGGAATACATTGTAACTATCTTTTCGATCATTAGACACTTCTTTTAAACATAAACACATATATACACTTTCATGTTCTATTAATTGAATTATCATCCAATTCATTAAAAAACATTGAAACGGAAGATGTAATTTAATGAGTGGGATTTGTATGGTGGAACCACTTGTGATTTAACACATTAACACATTATGACAGGCACAATTAAATGAGAATTGTCGGATAGATTGCAAAAGAAAGTACAATTTTATGATTCATTATATTTTATATTTTGGAATTCTGTATTAATTTTGTTTTAATAAAGATATCATTGATTTTGTTTATTTTAATTTATGATATTTACCGGTAACCGAGTAAACCATTATTTTCAATTAATATATTTGCCAAAATCTCATGTAAATTCAAAGTGCAGTATGTATGTACGTACGTACTGATTAACTGAAAAAAAATCTTAGCGTTAGTACAATCGATACTGTCTAATTGCATACGTATATTCTCTAAATGCATAAAAAAGTTTAGTTTTTAATGATTAATTAATAACACAAAAGATGGTTCTTCTTAATTCATATACTTTCTTTATGCATTAAAAGTTTCTGATGAATGGCATGCAATTAGGCAGTGTCGACTGTATTTCTAAACCAGTAATAATAGACGTATTTAATAATATTTCGTGTGCTTTTTTGTCTTTTTTCTTGCATTGATAACCAGCTATTGAACGAATTTTATCCTTCATTTGCTATCAACAATAGCAACATAAATATCCATGTGGATTTGTCAATTCACTTTTGTGTTACAAATATTTTTTATTCAAGTTTAAACTTTTAACGAATTTCCAGGACTATGTAATTTTACTGGTCGTCAGATGAATATACTTTGATTTAAATGTGATTATAAAGTACTACTAGTGCTCCTATCAAACCGGACCAGACCAGACTTTTGTTAAGTTTGAGTCTGGTCTGGTTTTCGAACCGGACTCAGACATTGATATTTCAAACTTTTAATCAAGTTTGAGTCTGGTCCGGGTTTGAGTCCGAAGCCTGCAGACTAGCCTGCAGACTAGCCTGAGTCCGAAAATATATAGATGTGCTTTTTTGGTACAAAGTTAAAATTAATCAGTAAAATTTCGAGAATTATAATATTTTATAATAGTTCTCAAATTTTTACTAATTCTAATTTTGTAAACTTGTTTAGCACTTAAAATTCATATATACTTTAGACTCAGACTAGTTTGCAAACTTTGGACCAAACTCAGGCTAGACTTATAACAGAGTTTGAGTCTAGTTTGAAGAAATTAAAGTCTGAGTTTGGTTTGAAGCTAAACCAGGTTCAAACCAGATTGAATCAGACCTAAACCAACCTAGAAGCACTATTTTATAATAATTTATTTTTATAATAGAATTTCCTTAATAAAATAAGTAGCTAGTTTGTTTTAATAATAAAAATTTGGTATCCTAGCACATGGGGGTATATTAGAAACCAAACTACTTGCAAGTGCAGTATTAGCAAAACAGATGACAGCTCTTTTTAAAAGATTAAATAGTACCGGTATAATAGAAAGCATTACTAAAATCAGAATTAGACAGGAAATTCTGGAAAAAGTCATAGTACATAATGTCTGGAGAGACCCTTTGGTTGAGGCAAATCATAACTGCAAAGACAATATCACACTCAACATGATAGAACAGTGCAAAAAAATAGATATATTTTTTGGCACAGAAGAAAAAGGCTAGAGCATATGTGGTTCAGGAACAACAATCACAAGTATATTAAGTCTTTTGCAGAGGAAAAAGAGTAGAAAACAGCAAGCAAGTTTGAGAATTTACTTCATTAATTAGATATTAGATGTAAGGGGTGAAAACTTGTTGACATGGCAACAAGTAAAAGCACTAAAAAATCGTAGTTGTAGTGGCACAACTCCACTCTGGTACAAGTTGGTTGAGAGTTTGGTGCTCAAAAATGAAGAGGGATGTAAAGTAAGAGCCCAGTTTCGTTTGCAAGCAAAAAATAAAGAGGTGATTGTACTGAGCCTACCAAAGATCAGTTAGGATAAGAGACAAAAAGATTGGATCCTATTTTACAAAAAAGAAACAGGCCAGCTTGAAATTGGACAGATTCAAGAAAAGAGTTCAAGTGAGGTTGTAGCTGAATACTGGTTAGAAGAAAATTCAACTAAGAAAGGTGTTCTATTAGTATAATGTGGAGGTTGTGATTTTAACAACATAGAGATAGAAGGCAGTTGTAGATTTAGTATAAATTTAGACCAAGTACTTGGTAGAATAGAGTATATATCGAGAGACGAGGAGGGTTTATACTTTAGAATTTCAACAGAAATATATAAATCTCTTACTATAGAAAGAAGTACACCTAAATGAATATTAGAAAGTATAAAGATGGTAAAAAATGAAAGTCTAGAGTATATAGAGAATTTGGAGCTACCGGCCAACATAATGCTTTGTTGTCATATAGGCTAAGAGTTAATCTGAAAAAAAAATATTTTCTATATAGATGGTTTATGGATCCCAAATAAGTTTAACAAGATTGATGAAGATAGAATGGAAGTGAGCTGGGTCCAGATTTCAGAAGATAAGAAAGATATGATATTTAAAAGCAGAGCCAGAATTGGTAATTGGCCATTGTCTACAAGGCCAGAGCTTTTAGCGATACTATGTACACTTTTGACAGCAACCTTAAACTCAAGTATGCAAATTAAAACCAATAGTGTGGCTGCAATTATAGCAATAAGAGGTGCACTAAATGAAAAGGACTTTAATAAAGAGCTTAAAAAAAAAAATAGAGCAATACTCGACAAGATTATAGAAGTAGTTCAGTTCAAATCACTTAATCTTGAGTTAGTAAAGGTTAAAGCACATGCAGGTATAAAGTGAAATGAAATAGCAGATTGCATAGCGAAAGAAGGTGCCTATCTTAATAATACATGGAAATGGCCAAGTAGTCTCCGCTCTTGATGGAGCTTCGATATATTTTGGCAAGATAAGAATATTGAATGCCCTCTACGAAGTTTTATACTAAAAGTTAAAAGAAGGTTTGTGGAAAGTTCAAAAAACAGAACGCAAAAATAACTCATTATGGGTTTTATGTTGGAAAAGATTAATGGAGCTTAGGAGCCAAAGGTGTAGATTACTAGTGATTAGTAACAAACTTGTTAAGCGAATTAAAGGCCTTTTCCGAGTACTTCCAATACTGGATAAATTACACTAGCGTAGCCCACATGTTTACCCTTTGGCCAATTGTGTTCTATATAAAGAGAACAAAACAGAGGATCTGGACCATCTTTTTAGCTACGAAGTCTATGAGAATATTTGATTAGAAATAGAAAAGCAAGCTTTAGCTTTGGCATGGGCCATACTCGAAGAAGAGACAAGATTCAAGTATATCTTGAAAGATTTTAAGAATGTAGTATTTGGCAACTCACAAGAAGCCCACTTGAAAAAAAGAAAGATGCTTATGCAGGGTTTGGTTTGTCAAAGTGATTTTACAAAACTCCAAAAAATAAACAAAAAATCTAGCACAAGTCGGCAATGCTACGAAGTGCTTTTTTATGTTATACAAGAATGCTTTTATAGAATAATTTGAAGAGAAAGATGTAAAAAATTCACAGCATGAGAAAAAGGTAATGGTATAGACAAGACAATCAAAAGAGAAAAAAGACTCAGAAAATCATCTAAGGTATTAGAAAAGAACTCATAAGCAAAAGACCTAGTATTAAAAAACAGGCCAACAGAGGTTCGACTAGTAGAAAACCAATTAACAGAAAACTGTTCAAGAAAAAAAAGGAAAAAGTGTTTAGAGGAATCAGGTGTATTAGAAAAAAAAGAGAAAGGAAGATCATGCTTGAAAAACTTTAAGAAAAAGATAGTTGAGATATATAAGAAACAATTTGGTTACAAATTTTCAAACTCTTTTCCACCTAGTTGGTGATCAAAGTAAAATTAGATTGTAGTAGGTTGTTATGTTAAGTAAATATTTTTAGATAGCTGAGTACTACGCTATAACAGGTTTTTAAATGTGGGTAGCACCATATATGGAACCAGTTAGCAAACATCAGTGCGATAATCATACTTGGGCACTAATATATAAGTTAGATAGTTAATTTTGTAAATTACAAATATTCTAATAAATTAGTGCAAGGTTATCAAAGAAAAAATAATAATAATAATAATAAAAATTTGGCTTTTTTTTTTTTTTTAATATTAAGATGATTTTTTTGGCCTAAGGGCTTTTTATTAAGTAAATTTGACATTTTTACAATTACAATGAGAGTACATTAAGCTATATATAGTATATACTTTTGGTACCTAATTTAAGTAGTTTACCCAAAAGTTTTACACTATTTATCATACCTGAACCCCAACTACAGAATTGTCTATTTAAACCCTTTGGTTACAACTTTTACTGTATTATACATAACTTATTGCTTACTATACAGAAGTGAATTTCACTATTTATCCTAATTAGATTTAGTATTTTTTTTATCTTAGAACTTACTAGTCTATTTATGAGATAAACCTAATAGTATAATATATATTCTATACATGTATTTATTTGTGTATTTGATAACTTCTTTCTACAGTAACTAGTATATACTATGCTACTGTATTGTGTTTGTATTGTTACTGATATTACCTGACTTTTCTTTTTTGTATTTTCTTTTGTTATTTGTTTTTATTTTGATATTAGTTTAG